TCTAACAATGGCCCACGTAATGTTTCAGCATCTTGAAGCACGCGATGTGTTTTCTCCCACAGTGTCAGGTTTAATCCTGTTTAGTCGACGCACATCTCACCATCAAAGGATTTTCTGCCGTCTTGTGATCCTGACCTTGAAGTCCAAATGGACTCTGATATCTTTTGTTTGAAAGGAGCAGCCAGGGGATAATTTAATTTTATTAGATCTGGTAACCAGACATAATTACATGACACCAGATTAACAGAAGTGATTGTTTGATCCCCACTTTGAAGGACATCTTTCATCCTCTTTGAAGCTCGTGGTTTTGCTGTTATTCTCTGCGATCTGCACGGCGGTTAGTTAGAGTACTAGTGAGCAACCCAAATACCTCAGCACGCTGCAAACAGAACGGGTCGAAGATGTGACTCATCACATCCTGTCTTACACCCTCTGTTTACTGTCAGCCTGAAAATTTTAAGTAAGTGCTAAAAGAGGCTGAAATACCTCTTGAGTTGATCTTTGTGCTCCCACCTTTGATTAAAGGGCATCAGAAGCTCACTCTGCCTGTGTGGGAGCACACTGTGCACAGAAATGTGCCTGAATAGTCACTTGTTTTTGGTAAACAGCGATAACTCTTGAAGACAAAACCGAGTCTGTTTAACCACACATGTGTATTTCTTTGCAGACAGAGCGCATGTGACTGATAGCAGGAATTTATCTTGTCTGCACACATGAGAAGTACTTGAACCTCTGCGGCATCACCGTCAGCTGTCACACCACAATGTCAGCAATTTATCTCTGAGTATATCGAAAATGCACGTAAGCCTGCAGATTAAAACAACCTGTGTGGACCGTAGCAAACAAAAGAAACCCTGCAGGAATGTGTTTCTGTGCGTGAGAAAGAGAGACAGAATTAAGGCCGACACACTGAGAGCAGGCGGCACTCGAGTCATTTCCAGGAATGAGAAGTTGCGCCTGTGAGGCTGATTACGGCTGAATGTGATTTGGCTCACGTTCAGCACATTTCTTTGCTCTGCTGGATCTAGGTTATTCGTTTAACTGGAAAACAGAAAAATCTAATTATCTACATTTTGTGATTCAGTAACCTAATGACCACATTGTACCAGTTGTCATGTGGCCCAGTGTTTATCAAATTCAAAAAAATGCAACGAGGAAACCGTTAAAAATCACTTGTTAAAGTGACAACTAAGCTATGTCTAACTTCTACTGAGAGCAAAGTGTAGGAGTAACATTCACAGGCAGCTTTTTAGTGATCGCATTATTATTTGTATGTATTTTGAGAACATAAACATACTTAACATGTGCAGTATTGTTCATTGTTTTAAAAAATGCATCCCATTTTTAAAGTGATGTGAGATCTACAAATACACGTTATTCTCCTTTAAAGTCCTTTAAATGCTGCATATATGAAATAAAATAGTCCAATATATTCAAAGTACATAACTCTATCATTTAAATAAGGAAGGTGATATGAATTTGAAATGAATGGAAACAAAAAGAAAAGCAAGGAGGTTAAGAATTGAAACCGTATCATAAACAGAACCACAATGACTAATGCAGACAATTAACCTATATGTAAAGTCAGTGTCAACATTTTTATTCATGTATGTGTTGGCACAATTAGGCAAAATACATTTTATAACCAAATAACATAAGCTAATTTAAACTAGACCTACTGATCCAGACACATATTCATCATTCTTGTCCGTGTGGTATGACCAGTAGTTTATGGGGATAATCTTTGCAAACCTTAACTAGATTCTATCAAACCAACTTTAAAGAACATTGTTGCTGATTTTAAACCTCATCTAAATTCCTGCTGCTCTTTCTAACCAAAGACAATCAGTAGAAAAACAAGGTAAATCTAATGAAGCATTACTTTTTAATTACTGCTTCGAGGGTTACTAGTAAATCCAATTTTCCTATTTAGCAGTGGACCAACAATACCGCCGCATAAGTGAGCTCGTGCTGCAGGATGTCGCTAATTTCTGTCTAAAACTACTTTCTCTTCATGCTTCTGACTCAGGTATATACAGTTTATATAACTGTGCCTGCTGTGCCCAAACTCAGGAAATACGACGACTGCAACATGCAAGTGAGGCGCGTATTCAAATGGCACCAGGTAGACATTTAGTTACGAAAACAGTCAGATGAGGAGCAGAGTGGGCTGTGTGTGGTTTTGTTGTAAGTGTGCATCCAAATATTGTGTGACCTTTCAGTTGAGACATTTCGCATGTGATTTGCATTCCTTTAACATTTCAGACTGTGGGAGGGCAGAATCTGTCTCCACTCAGTTTGATGTTTGGTATTTGCGCTGACTTTTATTCCGCGCACGCTATGCATTGTTACACTATGTTCGCCTGCATGTTTTTGTTGTCTACTTTTATTTGGTCTTCTTCACTTTTGCAAGCCAAACAGTGCAATCATCTTCTTCTTCCAACTTTGCCGCTGGTTATCATGTAAATGCTCTCAGTTTGCATGTGTGATAATGAGAGCAAATTTGCCCAGCAACAGCAGAAAACACACACACAAACACACCAGCTTTAACTAGCACTGGATACAACGTGTGTTCTGGCTATTGTGCTAATGACCTGGACTGTTTTGGGAGGTTTTTTTTTCCCCCTTATCTTGACTGGCAAAATGGCTCCTCCACAGAAAAATCCCCAATAAGCTTTAAGCTGCAGCTCAGTGGGAAGAAAAGACAAAGAGAGCCACATACAGCGCCTCTCATTATCAGCAGTGTATAGCAGCTAGTTGGGATGCATCATTTACAAGGACAGATGTTTAGATCTCTGACAGTGGAAAGTGATGTTTTGCAAACAATCCAGAAGCAGGTTATTATTATTGTCATTTTGCTGGCAATGAAAGTCACACCAAGATCCAGCAATGCAATGATTATATAATTTAAAAAAAAACAAAGCTACTTTTACACTTGCATAATTTGATTTGTAACTATTAGCAGATGTGATTAAGATTAATAAATGAGAAATCAGTTACATCTATTAATGGATTATCCACATTTGTAAATGCAACAGTCGTCAGAAAACCGATTTTTTTTTTCTATTTCTTTCTTTCTTATTTTCTGCCACATTAATCATCTCATGTCCCCTTTTCATTGGTGACCCTCAGGAGGGGCCTGATCCATAGGTTGGGAACCACTGGACTGAGTGCTGTACATAAAGATCCACATTGACCTGCTATAGTACAGTGCAGTGGTAAATGTGCAGTGATGCATCAGTAATTACAGCTGAAACAGGACTAATCAATCCACCGATCAATTGTTTAAACATCAGGAAATGAATGAGCAGCTATTGTATTTTAATAATCAATTGAACATTTGGAGTCAACATGTCAGCAGTGTTTACTGTGATTTGAACCTCTCTGCATTATTAGACTTTCACAAAACAATAATTGAGTGATTCATTGACAAGGAAAAATAATTAATAGTACATTTCTACTTTTAATACTTTAAGTTAATTTAGCTGATAACATATTTACTTAAATAGGATTTAAAATGCAGGACATTCATTTGGGACGGAGTCTTTTCAAAATGAAAATATGAAAAACTTTGGGGTACTTTTGTTCAAAAATAGTAAAAAAAAAACAAAACAGTGAAAGTAACAACAAATGTCTGTAAATCAGTAAAAATGCAGAATTTTGATGTGGACATTATGCACACTGCAAAAAAACAAAAAAACAAAAACAAAATCTGACAGCACAAGTGAAAGAAGAAAATGCATTACATTTAATACGTTTTTTCTGTGATTTTACTAAATATTGCATGTAATTTAACAAAACAGTGAAAACATGCAAAGTAACATTAAAAATAGATCAACTATTTTTCAGTCTTTTTTTCAAGTAACAACAACTATCTGTATATCTAGGATTTTTTTGCTGATTTACATACAGCAAAAAAATACATTAAAAAAAATTTCATTTTATGGTCAAACGTAAAAAAAAAAGAGCAGATTATCATACTGATTTTTTCTGTGGACCGTTATTATTATTATTATTATTATTATTATTATTATTATTATTATTATTATTATACAGATTTTCTGCATAGTTTAAAACTGGGAAAATCTGTAAAATAACAGTTTAAAAATTACCAGTCAATACTCAATATACAATTTTTTCTGTTAAAAACAAAAATCTGTAAAATGACAACATTTTTTAATAAATTTTCTTTTTGGGTTAACGTGTAAAATTAATACTTATTTTCTGTGATTTTACTAGTTATCTGTCATTTTAAATTATTGATAAATTGCATAAAAATCTGTAATGAATAAATAAACAAATAATTAAAAAAGTTAGAAATGATTAACCCCTTAACATACACAATTTTTCTTTCACACAACAGCAAATATCTGTGAAATAACAATACTTTTTGCAGATTTAAGTACAGTAAAAATAGTGTAAATTTACTGTAAAACTTTGCAAAGTTAGGAATTAACATATTTAAAGTATAGATTTTAAATTATTAACAGTCTGGGGTAACATGTAAATCAGTACTTATTTTGTGTTACTCTATTATTTATTATGTGTATTTCAACAAAACGGTAAAAAATCTATAAAATAACAGTAAACAGTAAATTAAAAAAACTTGTTCTCTTCAGTGTAGCACAGAACAGACCAGTCTCGGTAAACAACAGGAACCATCTGTCACCAGTTGCTTTCTGTTTCTGTTCCTGCTGGAGCGCGCGCAAAAGCCTGGTCTGTGTGGAACGAGCGCGAGGCAGCCCGCGAGCACCGAAGCCCGGCGGAGGGAAACATCACGTGGTGACACATCTCTACGACTGACGTCACCGTCCCCATCTCCCAGCAACCCCTCCATCAGCACTCGCGTCACCGTGAGCCCGAGCCGCGCGGTTGCCGGGCAACCCGTGCCTTGCGCTCGGGTCCGGCCTTGCCTTGCACCCAGCTCGGAGCTCTGACGCGGGTGTGACGTTAATAAGGTGGGTATCAATTTGTTATGGTGGCGGAGGGCGGAGGGAGGTGGAGGAGGAGGAGTTCCCCCTGTGAGAGCCGAAGCCCTCCGCTCTGCATTCCGGCGGAGCTCAGAGGCGCACACCGGCCGCAGCCGCAGTCCCGGGCCGAGAGACTTGTTGTAGAAAGTGGAGACGGGAGGAAAAAGTTGCTCCGCGCGTGTTTCCCCAAGACTTTCTCCTTCCTCGCTGTTGTTTTTTTTTTTATTATTGTTCTTATCTCTTGTCGAACCGGAGCTCTGCTTTGTGGAATGATTTACGTTTCGTCTGAGAGCTGCGAGAGAAGGTGGTTTATGTCTTTTTAAGGTAAGACTCACTCTCCATGAAACTCACATTTTATTTTGTGATCACTTGTATAATTTTCAACCCACCTTTTAAAATGATGTTTCGCTTTTTGTCAACCGTGTTCCTCATTTGCTTTACTTTCTGTTCAGTCTATTTTATTTAACGCTCAAATAAGTCTTTATTTTTTTCTCATCTAAAATACTGATTATTTTTTAATTATCAACCCGATCAGTTTTAAATCATATTTATTTGGAAATGAAACTCATGTTGAAATCTTGTTCCTTCCACTGTAAGTAAATATAAGTCAGTGTTAGGCTGCCTTGTCCCCACCATGTACCCACAGGCTGATTTGACTGGAACGCTGTGTGTGTGTGTGTCTGTGCAGGTACTGGCCTTACTTTAACCCAACGCTGTAACTCCAGACTGTTGGTGCACCATGGTGATCATGACAGAGACCAGCCGGGGGGCTCAGTCCAGCCCTGCCCAGGGGAGGCCGCTGCAGGTCGGCTTCTACGAGATCATCCGCACCCTGGGGAAAGGAAACTTTGCAGTGGTGAAACTGGCCAAACACAAAGTCACCAAAACGCAGGTCAGCAGCTCCTCTCCTGATCCCCACCTGCAGTTATTTTAAAGGATCATTCTTTCATTTACACACTAATAATGTTTCTTTGTGTGTTTGTTTCAGGTGGCTATAAAGATTATTGATAAGACCAGGCTGAATCCGTCCAACCTGGAGAAGATTTACAGAGAAGTGCAGATAATGAAGCTGCTCAACCACCCTCATATCATCAAGCTCTACCAGGTATGTGTGTTTTAATCTGCTGTTTTCGTGTGTTTGCGTGGAGCGGTGTGTCGTTCTGCTGCAGCTCCATGAGCACAGAGCCCGGTATGAATGCATGCGTGAATGTGGGAGCTGTGGTGTGGAAATGAGGGGACGCATTTATTTCCAACAGTAGCAGAGAATTGTGCCTCATTATTACAGATATGTGGATGCAGCAGCAGAGCTCATGCACACAAAAAAAATGAAAAATAATAATGGGCATTTGTTATCTAAGTGGTTTGTACCAGCTTGTGGTGAGCTGTGAGTACACTGAATCATAAGTACAGCACAACAGCATTAGTGCAATCCCTTTTGACCTCCCCGAGTGTGTTTTGCAGAGAAGGAGGGAGAGAGTTGGAACGTAGGAACAATCTGGGGTACCAGTCGGCACTGGGAACAATGCGTTTCGGAGATGTGTTTTTTTTTTTTTCTCTTTCTGTTATATAACGGTTGAGGTGATTGCAGAGAAATGCGAGCAACCCCGGTTAAGGGAGCGTCCACAGCTCTGAACGTTAAGCCCAATTAACACCTGCTGAAGCCAAGTGCAATGTGTCTGAGCGTCACGTGAAGGCAACTCCACAAAGCGCTGCTTTAGCCCTAATCAAATTGAAGACTTAGTCCAAAAGAATCCGCTTTTTCCCACTCAGCTGACCTCACAAGCACCGTGGCACGCGTCTGGCAGCAAACACACACCCACGCAAACAAAACACACAATGCCCTTTCTATTTATTTATTTTTTTTGATTCTTTTACTCTGGAGTTTTTTTCTGCCCTTTGTTTGCTTCTGTGTTGTACTTCTGAGGATTACTTCACGTCCAGTTTTAAGCAGCTGAGCGGCTCAAGCTGTGAAATCATGTCTGGGCTGCAAAAATAAGGGCATGACATTGGTCCTGGGAAGCCCCCGACAATGTTTACCCTCATATGCACGACAGCATATCAGCGTAATAAGCCTGCAAACAATCCATTAGGCAAACAAATAATCCATTAACCGATTAGTAGTCAACTTTTAAATTCATACCAACAATTGTAATATTTGACTAACTGGTTTAAGTCATTTCTTCCTTCTTTGTAGCATTAATTTAAATATCTTTGGGTTGTTCACTAATAAGATATTTGAGGATCTTGAGCTTTGAAACAGCATTTTTCTGCATTTTCTAACATTTTACAGACCAAACAACTAATCAAAGGAATAATAGACACTTAAAATAATCAGTTAAAAGCAGCACCTAAATTAATTTGCATCTATTTTGTCAACTTATTAATCATCTAAGTAATTTTTCAAACAGAAATGCCAAATATTCTCAGTGTTACTGTCTTTTATTTGCTTTATATGTCCATAAAATAGGTATCTTATGGGATTATAATTATCATTTTTTAGTTTTTATTGACTAAATTTTAAATGAACTGCAATTTAATTAACAGTTAGCTGCAGCCCTGGTATAATTTTTTTCTCAATATTGCACCTTATTATTTATAATGCAGCCTTGTGGTGGATATGCATTACACTACTTTAATCTAAGATGTGAATGTGTGACATGGCATCATCTAAGTGACGAAATATCTGATCAGTTAACCGTAATGCACCCTTTAAGATTGTGAAAATACATAATTTAAGACAACATTATGACCAGCACAAATCAATATTACATGAGTATGTAATCCTCTCTTCTGATACACTTGAGGCAGTTTAAAGACAATCATGTTCCATGCCTTCTGCAGACACGTCAAGTGAGTGTAAAGACACGAGACATTTAACAGCATTAGCACTGATTAGAAATGCCGTGGTAGTAATATTTAATGCAGCAATTAGATGTGTGCGTCGAAATGAATTTGTCGAAATTCGCCAAGAGCTGCTGGCTCTCTTTAAATCGCATGTAACCGATGATAAACTGGAGGATCGTGTTATCACCCAGCAGCTCTTGGAGATTCTCCCGCTGCTCTGTGGTCTAACATTAATGACCTCTGTCTGTCTGCATCCCGTACGTGATGCAATCTAGTTAATCTCTCCGTGCCCTTGGGTTGTGTGAGGTGATGCTAGTCAGATGGTTGGTGCTCAGCGATGGTAAGCAGCCTTCCTCACAACCTTTTATCCTCCCTTCTTCACAAAGAGGGGGATAGTGACATAAGACCATCTTGTGATTCGAGGGTTACATCCCCTGTGCAGTTTTTTTTGTTGTTTTTTTTTGGGAGACCTTTGGCCTGATAAGTCAGCTGCTGCTTCCACCGGTCTCATGGGAACAAAATGCTTTTTTTTTTTTTTGTCTACAGTCAAGGATCGTTTGTTTGCCTCAGCCTCTCTTTGACCTTGTATCAATCACACGTTGCCCTCTCATCGTTTCAAAGCCCACGCGCCCACTGGTGGGGCGAACTCGGCTCATCGACATTCAGTTTTAGTCTTTGTACGGCTTAAACAACTCTCAAAGCTGCTTAATGGCAAATTAAAAGGTAAAATGTGGACGTTAAAGAGTTAATCTTGCTTCTGGGGTGGTTCGAGGGCCCTTGACGTGCCGAGCCTGTTCTTCACAGCCATGACGTCAGCCGCACCTCAAGGTGACTGCGCCCCAGAGAGCTGCCCTATCTCCCAGATAAAGACTACTTCCCGCTTGGAGGCATCTCTGCATTGAATCGTTCTCGCTTGATTTTTTTTTTTTTTTTTCCAAAGGAGCCGGGGTTTGAAAAGAATTAAGCTCCACCATTCAGCGGAGTTTGGTGACATTCAATTCAGAGTTGGCCGGCAGCATTTATCCAGACAGGGCTTTGTCATCTGACGAAAATTGCTTTGTTGTGCAACCCTTCAGCTCAACTGTTCTGTCCCTGAGGGCTCGCCCGGGAAATGGAAGCTCTTCTGTGAGCTACCAGGAAAGAGCCGGGAATTGCGTCTTTCCGTCCCATAAAATGCGCACCCCGTTGAGTGATTGCACTTGCGGTGTTTGTGATACTTAAGGTGGGAACAGCCCGTGTGAATCCCCTCTCTCTCTCTCTCTCAGTTTCCTAGAAATAAAGAGATAGGGGAGGCTTGAAATTCAACACTAGCTTCGGTTGCCAGCGAGTGTCAGCCTCGGGGGAACACATGCCTAACCATTTGATCAGTTGGCCTGTGTGTGTGTGAAGTTATGCGTTTCCCTTTTGGGTTTGTGTTGACGTGTATAAACGAGTTTAAAGACATGATAAAAATGCATGCAGGGACTCACTGACGGCTGGCTGATGCAACAGGAAATATAATGGAAAGCCAGGGTGGAATAAGTATATGGAGAAGTATGAGAAGGGGATTTTGGTGGTTTAAAAATGTCTCATGCTCGCGAATGCCCAGTGCAGGCTGCTTTGAAAGACTCGGAAAAGATTTTACTCTTATTCTTCGTCATCACCAGCTGCTTATGACTCAGTTTCTGTTTTGTTTTCTCCTCAGGTCATGGAGACCAAAGACATGCTGTACATTGTGACTGAGTATGCAAAGAACGGAGAGATGTTTGGTGAGTTCGGTCTTCAAAATGTAGCTCCCTTCACGTGCAAATGTGGGCTAAATCAGTCGATCCTGATAGTCTGATAGATGACACGTGGACTAAAATATCCCCTCCGTCCCTACAGACCACCTGACCTCAAACGGCCGCATGAGTGAAGACGAGGCCCGAAAGAAGTTCTGGCAGATTCTGACAGCGGTGGACTACTGCCATCGACACCACATCGTTCACCGTGACCTAAAAACCGAGAACCTGCTGCTGGATGCCAACATGAATATCAAACTAGCCGGTAGGTCCGCCTCTTACCGTGAGACGTGAGACAGAGTGCTAACTGCTGCTGAATCTAACACCGTCTCGGCCGTTTTTGTATTCTGTTCAGTTTTCACCTACGGAAAGTATCGGCTGCTTTGGGGTTTCCTGAGCCGTTCTAATTAAATCACTGTTGCATCGTCTGTGTGCTAATTAAATCTGAATAATTCACTCATTTTACCAAGGCTAATATCGCCCGGTGGAAATGAATTTAGCGCACAATCGAACACACTCGCATACAGAAACTTTACAGCTCAACTGAAACAAACAACTAGTGTTTTGTGGGAGAGATGATTTGCTAATGCTGGGTCGCTATGATGTGGTTCATAAATGTCCCTGAGCATCTTGATAACAAATTACGTAATGCATCTAATTACAGCGCCCGGAGCTCATCGCGCTGGAATGTCAAACAAGTTTCAGTAACTAAATTGTTTTGCACCTCTGCTCATCTTGTAGACTTTGGATTCGGAAATTTCTACAATGCAGGGGAGCCTCTGTCTACGTGGTGCGGCAGCCCGCCTTACGCTGCCCCCGAAGTGTTTGAAGGCAAAGAGTATGAAGGGCCTCAGCTGGACATTTGGGTAAGCTCATTACAGCAGACAGCATTGTTGAAAGAATGAGCATTAACATTTTAGAAAATAATTAATATATTCTCCTTTTTTTTTTTTTTTTTACAGAGTCTTGGCGTCGTGCTTTATGTTCTCGTCTGCGGCTCCCTTCCATTCGACGGACCCAGCCTTCCTGCACTCAGACAGAGAGTCACCGAGGGACGATTCAGAATCCCTTTCTTCATGTCCCAAGGTATCCATTATCCAGACGGTTAATCACAATGCTTACTTTTAATTACCTATCCTTTGCGAAGCCACATCGCGCACAATCAGAGGCTCATTTTGTTGTTTTTTTAACATCCTCCAGACTGTGAAAATTTGATCCGCAAGATGCTGGTGGTGGATCCAGCCAAGAGAATCAGCGTGGCCCAGATCAAGCAGCACCGCTGGATGCTGGTGGACCCGACGGCCGCTCACCAGACCCTCAGCCATTCCCTCACAGAGTACAACTCCAACCTGGGCGACTACAGCGAGCCTGTGCTGAACATCATGAACACGCTGGGCATCGACCGCCAGAGAACTATCGAGGTGACTGAACTGAAAAGAAAGTCGTCTGAATTTGTAAAACTGTCACAGTCACAGTAGAAATACACAGTTTACATTTTTAGGACTTGAGGTGGGCGGATGTCACTGTGGAGAATTACTCTGTTTTTAAAAGCAGACATGATTTCTTGCTCTGTCGTCAGCAGCAACATTATATAGTTATACCTGACTGTCATGTAGAGAACTGCTCAGAGTTGAGGAGCTAAATTAAGCTACAAAGAGAGGAAGAGCTGCATGTAAACTGCCATCATGATCCACAGAAAGCAAACTAAGTGCCACAATGGCTCATCTCCTTTCCTTCTCCTCAGTCCCTGCAGAGCAGCAGCTACAATCACTTCTCTGCTATCTACTACCTGCTGCTGGAGAGAGTTCGAGAGCATCGCACACAGCAGCTGAGCCGCCAGTGTGGAACCTGGAGCCAGAGACCCAGGAGCACCTCGGACTCCCCCGGCCCAGAGGTCAGCACTCCGGCTGTGTGTAGCAAGCTCAGACTAATCCTGCTCCACTCCTCTGCTTGAAATCTAAAATGCTCTGTGCTTTCTTCCAGGTGATCATGGAGTCCACCGACAGTTTCAGATCGACAGCATTTTCAATTCCAGCTAAAAACCCTCCTCCTGTGTACTCGGAGGTGGAGTGTGACCAAGGCGGATTGTTCCAGGTAAAGCCGTTAGATAAAAACAGCATTTTTCTTGTTTACTAATAGACTGAAAGCAAAACCCTGCCTCGTGAGCTTCCTGTCAGTCAGCGGCTAACATTCTGCCTCCTTCTGTTTCAGCGTGTGGTGTTTCCAGTGGAGGCCAGCCTGAACAGATTGCTCTGGAACCGCTCCATTTCACCCAACAGCCTGCTGGAGACGAGCATCAGCGAAGAGGTGCGACCCAGAGACCTGGAGGAGGAGGAGGCCACGCAGACTCTGGGGCCGCTGCTTCCTCCCACCACCACTTCCCGCAGACACACTCTGGCGGAGGTCTCTGCCCGTTTCCACCAGTGCAACCCTCCATGTTAGTATTATAAACACATTTTTTTAAAACCACACATTTATCTGCATTCTGCCTTCCATAGAGAATCTAACTTGTGGCGTGTCCTGTTTCTGCAGGTATTGTGGTCAGTCCCTCTGACGGCGCCTCATCTGACAGCTGTCTGAAATCCTCATCCAGTCCTACCCCCACTTTGCAAGCTGCTATGGGTGAGATGTCAACACCTCTGTCCTCTGGGGCTGAAGGTGGAGCTCTGCTGCCTGCTGGAGCCCCCCTGGCTCTCTCCTCCCACCTCCTGCCCCAGGCCCAGGGCAGCCTGCCCGCCGCCAGCTTCCAGGAGGGTCGCAGAGCCTCAGACACCTCCCTCACACAAGGTAAGGAAGCGAAATCACTCCTCTATGTGTCACGTATCTAATCCGGTGTAAACTTTTTTCCTACTCACATGTACTATGTCACATTTAAGGATCAAAGGAGTATTGTGTAACACTGTCCCACGCCTTCCCGCAGGCCTCAAAGCTTTCCGGCAGCAGCTGAGGAAAAACACCCGCACCAAAGGGCTTCTGGGATTAAACAAGATCAAGGGTCTGACGAGGCAGGTCGTTCCGCCGCCCTCCTGCAACCGCGGCAGCCGAGGGTCACTGGGTCCGGCCTTCTCCGAGCATCGCAGCATGCTGGAGGAGGTGCTGCACCAGCAGAGGTGAGACACAGTGACAGGAAAGAACACTGTTATTACCATTATTATGTACTCAGACATGACACACATACACACTTACACTCAGAGAATATCAATATCTGATTTGTCCATTGCAAATAAAGTCTCCTTAGAACAGCAAAATTGACTTTAAAATCATCCCATTTGTAAGTTTTCTTTAGCATTTAGTGTTATTTGTCTGTACGTCCAGGAGTAGGATGCAAACATCAGTTGTTAATAGCTAAATCTGCACACTTGTATAGGCTAAAATCTCAAGTTGTAGCCCACAGTGAACTGATGTCATGCCTTAAAATCTTAATCTAAATCACCAAACTTTGTGTTTCGATCGCCTAAAGCATGAGAACTGAACCCATAAATAAAGACGTGAGAATCTCAAACAGTTGGTGTTCGGGGCAGGTTTAGTGGGCTGCAGTTTTGTTGATTTTATCTGACCGGATGTAGATGCAGCGTCTGATCCTCTGTGTCCATTTTCCAGGATGCTGCAGATTCAGCACCAACCCCAGCCTCAGGTCCAAGCTGCCCAGACCGGACCTACCCAGAATCCCCTGCTTTTCCTGGCCCAGCAACAGTCATCTTCTCCTCCACCTGCCACCGTGTTCACTTCCTCCTCCATGTTCGACACCCCCGCCCAGCCCGCCCTGCCTCCTCAGCCAGCCTCAGTGGGTCTGCAGCACGGCCCCTGGCAACAAACCCTGGAGAGCTGCTCTTCCTCCTCCACCTCCTCCGGCTGCTCCTCGTCCTCCTCGTCCTGCTACTGCTCCTCTCTCTCCCCCGTGGCTTCGGCCGCCTACCTGCTGGAGGAGCGTCTGCACATCAGCCAGCAGCCTCACCCTTACACCGGCCTCCAGCAGCAGCAGCATTCTGCAACACAAGGCACCTTCCCCATCCTGGCCAAACCGGCGATGTGGAGCATGAGCTCGGCCCCCGGCGCCGACCCCAACATGCAGGAGTTGGGTCTGGCCGGACAGCAGCAGCTCAGCAGCTGCGTGATGGTGAAGTAAAACATCCAAGATTGTTCTCTCGGTGGAAGGAAAATGGCTTTGAGCCCAGAAGAAAAAAAAAGAGAGCAGACGTGAGGAACAAAAAAAGCAGATGCAAGCAACAAATTTACACTTTAACAACACACATGTGAGAATGTGTCCGCACATGTTTGTTTGTTTGTCGTGTTTTTGATATCATATAAGCTAAAAGACTAAGCAATAACCAAACTCTGGATGAGGCGTTAAATCCGTATCAGACAGCCAGAGAAGCAATAATAGACTGAAAGACTCTCCTCCAGCTCTCTGATGGACTCGCTTGAATGAAGAGAGAGCTGACGTAAGCCGAGACACTTATCTCTCACGTTTTGATGCTGTCTAAGTTAAGTTCTTGATTTTTTTTTTGGAAAAGAGGAAGTCTCCCTCTTCCGCTTTTTTTCTAGTCATGTAAGTTCTTGATGTTTTTCACTTGCCTGGACAGAAGACCAAAATTCTTTCCTTTTCTTTTTTTTTTTTTTTTGCATTTCCCCTCTTTCCACGTTGTTCGCCTTTTTCTAAAGAGACATTTCTCTGTAGCAGTGCAATGAACACGCAGCATAGTGCCCTAAGCTTACAACTGTTCACTGAAGGAGCTGATTTTGATTCGTATTGAAACTGTGATATATTTGAGGGTTTTTTTTTTTGTTTGTTTGTTTGTTTTTTTTTCTTTCCTGTGCAAGATTATTTTAGCAAATGCTGCTTTTACCTCAAACTGCAAAAAGACTGCTTACATCCTCATCAGCCAAAACTGAATGAAGATGGTGTCTGGCTGATTGAGTAAAGCACAACAGGTACGTCGGTCAGCTCGGTAGCACCTCGCGGATATTCCCTTCGTCTGATAAGCACCTTCTCGTTAGATGCTTTTACTACCTCCTCAGGCAACAATTTGGAAACTTCAGCAAAACCTGTCTTCGGTCCAGATTAGAGGAAAGAGGGTTTTTTTCCTCATACGGACAGAACAAAGATTGTGGGAACAGTGCAATATTATACATGGAAAGATGAGGCTTTACATAGGACGGTCAAAATTACATGCATATTTGCCTGAGGTTTATTTCGTTTGTCTGTGTTTGACCTTGCTGTGCTAGCTAGCTGACTCGAAAAAAAGGTACTTGTTATGTAAGACGATAACATGATACTGTAGTGGTTCAGAGGAAAGACTCGAGGCATTTCAAGATGCTGTTTCTTCCCACAGCGTGCTTGTGGTCCTTTTAACCGAAAAAGGAAGAATTTGGGTTTTACCAAAGAGCGAACAGCACAACGACGAGATCGGTGATCTATCCAAGACACACTACTGACTTTTCACTTCGAATGCTGTCTCCAGATGTAGCATGGTGGTTAGCTACCATTTTCACAAGATCTCCTGAGCTTCTGCTTTGAGAAAAAAAAAAAAAAACTCCCGCTGCCACCAAATCCTAATGCTACGCGTATTGTCGATATCTCTAGCTGTTACTATCAGGACCATGGCGGTATTCATTTTTGTACTTTTCTAGAAAAGAACAAGGAAAAAAAAAAAAAAAGAAGAAAAAAAAAAGAAAAAAATCACAACATAGCAATACCATATTGTGCAGGAAGTTGAACTTTCTTCAGTCGCCCGTAAGTGGCTAGAAATAGGTAGGAATGACCTGCAACGAGCTGATTTATACGTGCAGGTGATGACGTGTTAGAAAAGCTGCAAGAGATGTGTAATGTTTAGTTCTCTCATATCTGTGAAGCATCTTGTAGGGGAGCAGTGTTTTTTTTTCCGAGCCCAGTTCTACTTCGGTAACATGCAGTGTTGATACTTCTGCCCAACTATTTTTTTGGTTGATTGCACTCACTACCAACACTTGTGCCTTTATCTGAACAAACCCGCGGTCGGAGTTTTCCGTCTCCGATTGCTACACTGAAAAAAAAAAAAGAAGGACTGATGGCTCCATTACCGGCCGTTCACTCAGACGCCCCTTTGATATTTTCTTTGACTTGCTGTTTAAACAGAAGCAAGATTTGCACTTTATTCATGTTTCTTATAACTGATTTTTTTTTTTTTGGTTCCTCATGATGACAACAAAATCACAAAACTATTGAAACACTAAGACTCTTGATGCAAATCTGTAAGATGACCCTTTTGATAAACTTTGGATAATAAGAAGTATGTCATGCTTTTTTGTTCTGATTTGTTACTTGACTGTGTGAGCACGTGTTTGTGCGAGCGTTTGTATGTGAGCGTGTGTGTGTGTGTGTGTGTGTGTGTGGAGGGGAGGAACAGAAAGAGGAAGGGAAGGAGAAAGAATGTTAGAACGGGAAAGATTGTTTATTTATGTGCTATTTATTTAAATAAAGTTCACTTCCGAAACTGTCTGTGGTTTGATTTGGATTTTTTTAAATGTCAAGATGTTCAGTGGCATGTTAACTTGTTCATACGCTGCAAAAAAAAAAACAAAAAACTGGTAAATAACTAAACTTTTACGGTATATTTCTGATTTTTAAATTTGTACAGAAAAGTCTATAAAATTATAGACGTTTGCTGTAAATCAACAACCCATCAATTATTTTAAGTGCCAATAATTCCAAATTACATTTACTTCCCACTGTCTCTTTTTAATGAAAAATTCACTTCTACAGAACCGCATTCTTAAATTACATATAAATGTAACTAAAATGACACAAATTATCTGTAAATATGGAGCTCTTTATACATCAATTTCACAAGTTCCTTTGTTATTTTAAGGTAACTCTCATTAGATTTATGGTTATTTGTACATTTACATTCAAACTTGATTCAAAATTGAATTTCCCTCCTGGGATAAATAAAGTATTTTTCATTTCATTCATTCATTCAAACTCTGTAATTCTGGACACCAGTTAAGCAAACTTTTTCTAACATAATGCACAGACTACAAACACTTCCTGCCCCCGAGGTTGAATTTGTTGCTGGCATGTTGCACCCGTCTGCAGCCCCGCTGGACCTGCAGTGGCAGTGCAGGAGCTCTTTGGCGCTTCATGGACTTGAATGTCTTTATTATCCAACACCTGAGAAGCTGAAGATAAGCCTGAGGAGCTCAGCATGCCCTCATGGCTGCTTACAATTCTGCACTTTGTCCCCCAGATCATTACTTAAGGTTTTATTAGAATAAAATTAGAATTAGAATAAAACTCTGGTGTCAGTCTCCGCCTTATGTTGCAGCCTACAACCTTGGTCATAACACAGAGAAAGGTCATCTTCGGTTTTTCAGTTCCTCCCTGGAGACTCTGCAGAAGTATTTGTGCAGAATGATTTGATTTTTCTACATTTCATCTAAATAAATGAAACAAGAGAGTGTTTTGGAATCAGTAGTGGTGTGTACTTCCAAGACAAGCCTGGAACTATCTTGAGGATATGTTAACACCAAATAATAATAATTTGGGCCGAATCTGTAAACACAAAATGAAAATGTCTATTTTTTTGCAATTTATTCGAATTAGGATTTTTTACTTGAATTTTACGTTGTTCGTTTGGCAGCTGTTGCTTTTTCTTCCAGTGTATCGTTAATATTTCTGTACTTCACTGATCTCTCACTTGCACTTTGACTCAGCTTTACAGTTTAAAATAAGGAAGCCCTGTGCTCACGGTCAACACACAGAGACTCCACCAGGATGGTAAACTCTGTCCTCTGACCTCTGTGCGTTGCTGCGCCGACCTTCACTTGAGCAAGTGCAAACTTTTGGATGGTTTGTGGAAATCACAGAGCTCACCTACACACAACGTGCATTTTTAATACTCGTGTTACAGAATATAATGCAACACTGAAGTCATTTTTGCTCACTAACTATAATTCTGCTGGACACAACACTTTATAATGCTTCCTCCTCTTCCTCTAACTGATGACGAGGCCAGCTGATGATGCGCTCGCACCTCGCGGTAATGCTGTGATGAGGAGTGATAACGATGACGCGATGCACTCCGATGATGACGACCACCTCCCTCCTCCCTCCCTCCGCCGGCTGGTTATTCATAAACCTCAGAAACGACAGGTGTCTGACGTCTGACAGGAGAGGCTTTTGTGTGTGTGTGTGTGTGTGTGGGAGTCGAGTGACGCAACAACGAAATGAGAAGCCAAACTGTCCAGGAGCCAAGCGAACTCTGCTGCACTCCTCCAGCCTCCAAGCTCGCTCATTATCTCCACTTAGATGCCATTAAAATTTCTGCAGGACTGAAATGTGTTGATTTGCTGCTCGCTGCATGTACAGATTTACACTGCGGGGGTCACTTCACTGACTCATGCATACACATTTACACGTGTAACATATGGCTTGACATTTGGCATGGCATGACCGAAGGGGGCCTGGAGAGGAAGTCTGTACATCAGATGTCCAGCTGCCGCAAACATATCAGTCATCATCAGCGGCCGCCTGCTGCTGACGTGACCTCAGTAACTCTAACTGGCCATCTGCAGCATATTTCATGTTTGCAAGGCAGCAGCAGCAGCAGCAGCAGCTCGGGGTGTTTATGGGGGGCTTTTACACGTCAAACGGTGTAATTGTTTCCAGATAGACGGACAGAAGTCACCTTCATCGCCCCAGCAGGTCCAGGAAAAGATCTGCAGTGGAAATATGTGCTAGGAGGCCAATTCAGGTTATTGTGCTGAAAGCAGTTCTGTGAACTGTTTGTTTTTCAAGTACAAACACCTTGTTTACCTGGAAGTGACGCTGTAGGTTTCACAAGCAGAGCAAGATGATTTATGAGACTAGATCAGACAGATAGTCGTTATTTTGAGATACTAAGTCACTGTTTAAAGAACGTTTCTTATTGCATTAAAATATTTTGTCATTTTTTAAAGAAGATTTTCTCAATATTTTTAAAGTTACTTTTCTTTTTGAGACATTCATTAAGTCCTAATTTCGAGAAAGTGTCTCATTCTGTTTGAGAGTTTCCTCATCATGTTTGAGATACAAAGATTATTTAGATTTCATTACTTTGAAAAAGCTTCTCATTGGTTTTCATAGGAAGTCTTTTTATTTTGAGACGGTTTCTCATCATTTTCAAATATTAAGTCATTATTTCAAGCTCGTCTCTCAATGTTTTGAGATACTAAGTGATCATTTTGTGACATTTTTGCAACATTTTGAGATGTGAAGTCATGATTTCAAAAAAGTTTCTGGTCATTTTCAGATACTAATGAATTTAAGAAAGTTACTCATTATTTTGAGAAACTAAGACATTATTTAAAGAAAGTTTCTCATTATTTTGAATCTACCATTATTTCGAGATAATTAGGTCGATATATTGAGGATGCTGCTCATATTTTGTGACACTTTTGTGTCATTATTTCAAAAGGTTTCTTTTAATTTTAGGACAGTTATTATTATGAGATCGGTACGTTTTTATTGTGAGATAGTATCTCATTGTTTTGAGAAAATATGTTATAATTTTGAAATACTATGTAATTTTTTAAAGAAGTTTTCATTATTTCAAGAAAGCTTGGCATTATTTTGAGGAAGCTTCTCGTTGGTCTCAGATACTAAGTCATTATTTTGAGGAAGCTTATCTCATTGAATTGAAATATTAGGTATTGTTTAAAGATAGTTTCTTAGCATTTTGAGATACTAATTAAATTCTTAAGAATCTTTCTGATTATATTATTTCCAGAAAGCTTCCCATTAGTTTGAGACAGTCATTATTTTGAGATCAGTCACTCATTTGAGAAGGTTACTCATTGTTTTGAAATACTAAGTCATTATTTCAGGATAAATTAGACAGTGTTTTGAGAAAAATTCTTATTGTAAGTCATTATATAAAGAAAGCTTTGCAAACCTTTGAGATATTAAGTCTTTTTTTAAAGAATGTTTCTAATCATTTTCACACATAAATTAATTAATAAAGAACGTTTCTTATTGTTTTGAGGTACTAAATCATTATTTAGAGAAAGTTTCTTCAAATTTGAAGATACTAAGCCATTATTTCAGGATAAATAAGTCATTGTTTTGAGAATGTGACTGATTGTTTTGAGATAGTTGTTATTTTGAGATAAGCCCGTCATTCTTTAGAAAGTTTGTCACTGTTTTCAGATGCTGAGCCATTATTTCGAGATAAATAACTCTTTATCGTGAGAAGGTTTCTCATTGTTTTGAGAGCTTTGACAGTTGTTATTTTAAGATACTGAGTCATTATTTCAAAGAAGATTTTTTTTCCCAACACATTGGCAGAAATGGGCGTTTAAAAAAAAAAAAAAAAAAAAGACACTTTATTAAAACTGTGTTTTAAAAACCAAGAAGTCACGATGCAGGTTTCAGAAGTAGAGAAGACAGACTTGTGAAGTGAAATCAGATATATTGTTAACCTTTGCTGCTTCACTGAGCACTGAGATTGCAGCTCTGAACAGGCTTTACGAGTCTGTCGTCATCGATTGTTTGCACAGGTGTGTATCAAGCGGTGAAAGTAGAGATCCAATTTAACCTTTGTGTTGTGTTGAGTTAAGCTGTACTTCTTTGTTGTCTGGGGCTTTACAGTCACCTAATGATATTTATTATAATTACAGTATTAACGTTATGATTGTACTTAGATGCAGTATATAGAAAAATATTCAAATGGCCACCACCCTTGAAATTACTCCAAATTAGGAGTTGCTCATTGTTTTTGCAAAAAGACTTCCACAAACAACAAAATGTACGCTATGTTACAATACGTCGCTCGGTTACTTAACCAGAGAGGTTTTGTGGAGTCTGTGAGACTCAAACAGAAGTAATGTGTTAGTTTCTGTGGTTTGACTTCTAAAAATGGCATCAGTTCAAATCACAGTCATGGCAACTTCTTAAGTCATGAGGTATAGAGGTAACCACACAATGTAGAGTTTTGTAAGTTGTTAAAAAGGAAATCTGAAATGGAGAAAGAGGCAGTTTGCTATTCTGTTCAAGTTGGAACGCCAATATTTCTACTTGCAAAGCGTCTCTTTTGGCATCCTTGAATCAACAGTTTACGTGAAGAATAAGTCAAACTTCACACATGCAGGTCAGAGATGCGTGTCGCAATGAAAATGACCAAATATAATGCTTGTGCATGATAATACAGTGGTATGTAAAAAAAAAAGCAAAAAAAAAACAAAGTGCAGTGGGCCTCAACTTGAGCCTTGTGGAGCTCCATAATGAACATTTCTCCTCAGGCAGTGTTCTAGACAACAATGTACAGTGACAGAACAATTCTAAGCTGCGACTAAGACGCTTTCACAGTATGCATAACTGCGATTGTCAGAGGTCTAGACAAACAGTGGTGCATGATGAATTGACCACACTTACATGCTCACGTTGCAAAGATAATCCGTCCCATCGACTCGTGGCCTAAGCCCTGCTGACTTGCCCTTGTCAGAGTCTGTATGTTGA